TCCCCCCCGCCCTGCACTCCCTCAGCTCTCCTCCATCTCACGCTGTTCTCACCCACGTCCCAGGGAGGGCTCAGACCCCACGGCTTCACCCACGGTGCAGAAGCTGCTCCTCCCTGCGTGCCCCAGGAGTGCCTCCTTTCCCCTCCACATGCCCCCAGGTCCCCTTCGCTCCCCCCGCATGTGTGCTCACCTCCCCTCATTACCCTCCATGCACTCAGATCCCTTGTGCACTCACTTCTCCATCCCCCTCTATGCACTCGTTCACTCCCCACTTTACACAGTTTATTCCTGTTCCCCTCCAGCACGCTCAGAGCCCTCCACCCCCCTCCAACCTCTGTTCCACCCTGATCCCATCCTGCTCTGTTTGGCCATTCCCATCCATACGTGCCGATCTCCTCCCTCACCCTCTGATCCTTCCCTGCTCTCCTCTGAACACACAGCTCCTCTCCGTGTGCCTTTTCAATCCCTCCCTTTACCCTCGCAGGGCGCTCAGACTTGACCCGTCCCTCCATCCCCTCCTGCACGCTCTGGCCCCTCTGTTACCCACCCTACGGTTCCCCTGCACGGCTGCCGTGATTCCCTCCCTGCGGATCCTGCTCCCCTCGTCCCCTCCCTGTGTAAATTCCCTCCATGCTTTCCATCACGGCCAGGGATCCCCCTCAAAACCACACCACAAGGTACAGGTTAACTCCCAACTTAGATATGGAGCAACACTTCAGAAGGACTTGGGGAAAAATTTTTATAACAAAAAAAAAAAAAAATCCAAAACAATTAAGCCTCCCTAGAGTCAGCATCACCCACCCATGTCCTGCCCATGCACCAGTTGTTTCTTCTGTTATACTGGGACCAACACGGCCCCACAGCGACTTTCTCCATCACACTCCCTGCAACCCCAGCACTGCTCACGGCGACTGAGCCAGAATCCTGTACCAGTACTGGAGTCCGTCACAGGCATCAAGAGGAGCAGGCTACTGGGACCCACTTCCCGAGCTCTGCCTGTGCTGGGTGCCACCTTGTTAAAAAGGACACCTGAGACAGAGAGGAACATGAAGAGAGGGGGGAAAAGAAATGGAGAAACGAGGCTGGGGAGGGACAGAATGAAAGCTGGGGAAGGGGTGAGTGGAGAGGGAAGCGGGGACGCTCCGACTGAACCAGCCTGCTGCAGGACACTAACAGCCTGCTCTCAGCCACGTGGCAATGAGGATGTGCTTGACGCTGGGCATCCAGCTGGAGTTCTGGCCGTTTCCACGAGAAGGGATGGAAACTATGAGCCTCGTGTCTCTTCTTCCCTTGTTTCCTGTGGAGAGCCCCCGCCGTGCTGCTCGCCATCGTCACCTACATGGGGCAAGAGCAGCATCATCTCAGCAAGAGCCAACAAGCCAGACAACAGGAATTCCTCCTTCCCCGGCAGCTTCTCCTGGAAGACCCACAGCTTAGCACGAGAGCAGGCGGCTCCAGCCCCAAAACTGGTCCGTCAGGCAGGCACCAGGGCTCACCTTCCGTAAGGCAGTTGAGGTAAGCAGTCTGGACACTGTTCCCATTGACCAGCGCCATCGCCTCGTGCTTGGTGGAACTGCTTATGGTCTCTTCTTCCCCCTTCCCCTCCTCGTCATCTTCTGAGTCCACCAGCACTAAGATATCACCCGAGTCCTGATTCCTGTGAACAGCAGAGCAAGCAGAGGTGGGCTGAAAGGCTAAGGATGGCCTGTCCTGACCCCTCCCTCCAGCCTGTGCCTCCCCTGGCTTTGACAACCCTCTACGCCAAAATGGCCAATTCTGATGGATTCTCCCAATCCTGCACTATGTTCAAAGAACAGCTGGTTTCAGACCCTGCTGGCAGCAACACCACCACTGGCATTCTGCACTACTTCCTATTCGTCTTCCAAAGTCCTCAACCACTAATATTCTAATGTACTAAACGGCACGAGCCCCTCCCAAGTGGAGTTATTCTCCCCTCCTGTACACATGGGGATACGAAGGCATTCAGAAAAGAGCCTTCCCACGCTGCAGCACCACAGCTGTGGGAACAGAACCAAGAGGGGCAAGGGAAGGGAGCGGGGCCAGGAGGGGTGCGAGCAGGAAGCAGAGAAGAAATCTGGTGCACCTGAACCCCAAGAAGCCACTTGTTCACGTGCAGTTATCAGACATCCCCCCTGAGAGAGGAAGGACATGGGCAAACACCCACACAGAGCGGCAGAAGATCACCGTTTCCATTTACTCTAAGTCTTCAGGCTCACCTGCACCAAGGAGCAGCTCTCCCACACAACCTCCCCCCACGCTAACGGGCGCCTTGCCAGCACCACCCCTGCGCATCCCAAAGCGACACCACTCCTGCTCTGATGCCAAGCGCTCTCCTCTCCCCCCATCCTCCTGCTCCCACGCCGAGTCTCACCCAGCCCCACCATTCCCTTCCCGTGGGAAGCACAGCTCCACGTAAGAACAGCTTTGCTCTGGGGATGGCTCCTGCCTCAGAGGTGGGTTCCCTACCCTACAGTGAGATCACTTCTGTCAGGAGGCGGACTAGCAAGGCCACACAGGACTGGGCTGAGGAAAATCAACACCCACCTGAATGCAGCACCTGAACGGGAGAGAAGGGAAGGGAAAAGACAGCGTTAGAAACCAGCCCCAGAGCAGTCCCTTGGGCAGTGCGCTGCTGGTTTTACTGTACCACCCCTGCCAATCCTGCCTGCGGTAGGATGGTCTCTGGCAGCCACACGTAGAGGCATGGATGCGAAGCTGACCTGCCCACGTATACAACGAGAACACCAGAGAGGTCACAAGGAAAAGGGAGAAGGCCCAGCACAGCACAGCTCCCCGGAGAAGACAAGGGGAAGGTGCCTGAAGCACTCAGTTGGGGAAGGGCCTTGCGTTTCCAACCCATCTGCCTCCAGAGTTTTGACCAGGAGCAGGATGAGGCCCAAGGGCTGGGGTGATTGTCACAGCACACCAGAAGGGTCTAGCTGGTTAGGGATAAAACCAGGCCACCCCAGGAAGGAGTAACCTCCTCCCTGTCTTGTGCACAGGAGAGCTCCTACCTCTCAGGCACAAGAGGGGATTGTAGTACAAGACGATCCCGGTGACGGTGAGAATAGCCAGCAGGGACAGGACCACCACTGCACCCACGACCCCGACGATGTTCACCGGCTCTGTGGAGAGGAGACACAGGAGGCCAGCTTGTCAACAAGACATGGATGGATGAGGAAATCTCAGTGCCTGGTGCTGTCTCAGCTCCTATTTCCCATCACTGCAACAGTCCCACCAGCACAAGGGGCGAGAGTTTCAGCATTCCTACTTCATTGATATAGAAACCACCACAGTAAGGCCCCTGTTTTTGTGCCCATGTGCATTTAAGTGAAAGGAAATCAGGCCCTGCCCATTGCACCTTGAGCAGCTTGGCCCTCGGAGGTGTACCTCTGCACTCACAACCCCCAGGAGGGACCAAGGATGCTCCTCTCTCAGGCCCATTACACTGAGGAGAGGGGAATCAGGCCTTTTCACCCTGGGATGGAGGGAGCCAGTCCTGTATCTACACTTGCCGCAAGAGTATGGAAAGTGTCAACAGGCTAAGAGGGCTCTTAGTGGCGAATGGAGCCCCTTGGGAGCTCACCAATGACCCCACTGAGCTGTGTCCCTGACTCCTCCTCAATCCCTGCTGCAGCAACCCCAGGCAGCCCCACTCACGCTTCACTGTCAGGCAGACGAACAACTCCCTCAGTCCCACAGGGTTCTGTGCCTTGCAGACGTAACAACCCCCGTCAGTGCCCTGGGAGCAGTTCCGGATGGTGAGCCGGGACACGTTGCCCTCCTGGGCAATGAGGTACCTCCCTCCGGGTTGGATCTCCACCTCTGGCTGGGTGATGCCGCGCAGCCAGGTGAGCCTCGCTGCCGGGGTGCTCTCAGTCACACGGCATGTCAGGGTCACGTTGTCACCCACAAAGCAGGTCTTTGGGGGCTCCGACTCCAGTGAAGGGATTTCTGAACAGCCCAAGGGGAAAAAAAAAAGAAAAAGAAAAGAGTCAAGGAGGGAATAGAGGAGTTTAACATAACAAGCCATCAGCCATCTGACTGATTAATAATCATTAACAGAAGGAAGTCAGACAGGAGTCTGGGACTTGAGCGCTATGGGTTTGGCATTCAGCTCACTCACAAGACTTCAGCAGCCTTCCAAGGAGCAATCTGAGCAACTTTCACGTTGCTCAGTCCCTTTTTTGACACCTGTCTTTATATCCCCAGGGAGGAACAGTCAGAGGGTTGCCAGTGGGAAGATGGCAGAGAGGAGAAAGGCAGCCCAGGAATTTTCCTTGGGAGCAGCAGAGCTCACAACCCTTGGAGAATAAATACAGCTCAGGTTTTCAAAAGCCAGCCACTTTAGTCAGACCCCTTAGTTGCTTGAAGGGGGCCTGGGGGCATGCACAACCCTTCTGCTATAAACCCAGCCCGGCCAAATTTAATCTCAAGATGAGCAAGGCACTAAAACCACCTCTCACTTTCACACAGGCATGAGTGCTTGCACAGGTGAAAAGCTTGATGCAGGAAGATTTGTCAGCCCCTGAAGATGTACCCAAAACACAATTAACTCACCTGTGACTGTGCCATGATGGATCTCAGCTGCAGGACTTCTGTGCCTTGTGCAGTCACCTTTGCACAAGCCAAGCCCTGCCAGGCTGCCTCATTAGCATTGCCCCCTGCGGCAAGTGCTCCCCCCGCAAGCCTGGCTTGCCTGATCACTGCCTTAGTGCTTTGGAGGGCAGAGAATGATGGGGGTGCCTGTCTGCCCCACCATTAGCAGGCTCATTAATAGTTAATAAGGTAGGCAAGTCAACTCACTTATCTCCACGGTGCATGCAGGCTGCTCCTGCTTGACGACATGGCTCCCGACACACTTGAACACTTTGCGGTGGGAGAGGTGGGAGCTGTTCAGCGTTTCCACGTGGGTGTCCGAGGAGCTCGTGGAGCTGATGACCCAGGTTGAGTTCTCCAGATCATGCCCCTCTTCTCTCCAGTGCAGGGTGGGGTGGGGGTACCCCCCAGGCCAGCTGCAAAACAGCTGCAGCATCAGCCCCGATGAGGAAGTCTCAGCCCAGCACTTTGGGGTTGAATGCGGTGGATCTATCAGCAAGAACAGCGCATAGTTAGAAACATTTCCAAGTCACAGCTCTCAGCACCTCAGGGCTGGAACCCCCAGAAGTGCTTGTTTTTGCCATCATTCCCCTTGAAAGTCTTCCTGCTTCCCCTGCCTATCTTGCTCCCTGACCTGTGTCCCACAGCCTCAGGGGAGCACAAGTCTGAATGACAGTCAACACGGACCAAAAGCTGTAACAGCAACCACAGCCAAGCCTTGAGAGACTAATGCACAGGGAGGAAAAAAATTATTGCCCCAGCTTTATCCAATGGAGAGAAGGTAAGCACCTAAAAACACAGCAGGAGAACAAAATCTCCGTGCTGCCCTTGGCAATTCATCACAGCACAGGTCCTCATGCCTCAGATACAAGGGGGTGACACTGATTCACACTACGTAAGAACAAGGCTCTGCCTCTCCATGTCGCTGATACAAGCGCTCGGATTTCCCAAGGGAACATGGAAAGCATGAGGGCTCTTGCCAAGGGACAAGTAACCAGCTTCTCAGAGCCACCAGCTCAAAGCTGGAGCACTTCCCCAGCAAGCCCAGCACATTGTTGGAGGAGGAGGCTGTTCCCAGCATACAAGATTCTCTCTCCACAGGGAATCCTGGTGACTCCAGGTCGCAGCGTCAGGGCCACAGACACATGCCACTGAAGCCAAACCAATCGTGCTCCGTGGGGCCAGACAGTATCACTCAACCACGCACCACAGTCTGTGTCCGCACCACACCTCAGCAGCAGGGACAAACTCCAGCAAAGAACATAGGTAGGGTAAGTCACCACTGGCCTCATGCCAGGGCTGATCACTTGGTAACCGCCACAACTATGTTTGTTACTTAAATACAGAAACAACTACACGATAGCAGGAATGGGTCAGAAGTCAATAGAAACCCAAGAGCAATCCCTTTGGGCAGAGCAGGTCTCACGTTTCATGCAGTATGAGTTCCTGCCTCTCTCCCATCAGCTGGCTTCACACACACACCTGTGCACAGATAGACACACGTGTTCGTTTAACAGCCATAGGGATTCTGGACTCCGATCCAGGCAGAATTAACACACTGTACCCTTGTGGCTGGCTTGCCTAATGCAAAACTGAACAAGACCCCACCAAGAGATCAGATGCTGCCAAAGCAAGCCCCACACAAGAGCTGTCAGAGGGATAGCCTGATGTTTATTTTGCAGAGCATTTATTCAAGTGACTTTCAAATGACATGAGTTAAAAAAAATTAAAAATCACGGCAAAACCCCAGGTGAGCGACAAGAACATACCTTCTTGGGGCTTGGCTTTCCAGGAATTATACGCACACATCTCGTATGATCTTTGAAACCATCCAGCTCTGGCAAGAAAGTTCTCTATAACACTTCCTCTGTTCCAGCTCTGGGAAGGTCTCACAACCAATCCCAAAACCTGGCTGTGGTTAATAAAAGCAACCTGTCAGCCTGAATCACCAGAAACTGCCCCACGTCAAGAGGCAGACGCAGCCCTTCCAGGACATCCAGCCAGAGAGCTGCACTTTTTGTGCTGGTTCCAGGAACCTGCCTCCTGAAGCCATCAGCTTTACATCCTGAACTCCCAGGCTCTCCCAGTACAACTCTACTCTTCTGTCCAAATGCTAACAGAGATCTCTTTCCAAAATGTTAACACAACAAAACCCTAAAAACCTCCAACACCCCCCAACCAAAAAAAAGACTCCCAAAACACCAGCAAAAAGGACCTCATGCCCACAGAAGAGCCAACAGCAGCTTGTATCAAACTGCAGACAAACATACCAAGAAATCACTTGGAGGTGTGCAATTGCACGCTTCTTCATACCATGTGCTTCCTATCCAAACCAAACACAGAACAGCAGCTCAAGGCAGGGCTGCACCTTTGTCATGTTGCTAGAATGTTTACTCTACTGCTTGTGGTTTTTTTAAATGCAGTTTTAAGCAAAGAGAACTTTTTGGTACAAGCCACGAGGTGGGTTGAAGACTGTCAACTGGTAACTCCCACATGAAGCCCACAGATCCTGGGTGGCTCTTTTACAGCGGCGCCAAGTCTATGTCTGAGAGGTTCACTCCAGCCTGGGCTAAGCTGGTCCAGTAACAGTGAAGTGTGAAAAATCAGGGCCTGCGCTTCTAGTCTGAGGTTGAGAAGCTTCAGCTTCTGGCCTTTGCTAATGCTTCTTCTGCTGATCTAAAGCACCACCAGAAGTACCTCTCTCACCTATTTTAATGGCACGGCACTGTCCCATATCACCTTTGTAACCTTTGGAAATTAATTGACACATTATTTCTGTGCTAATAAATGAAGTTCAGAGTTCAGCACCAACACTTGGCATGCCATAGATATCTTTTGCTCACGAGTGTTTCACACCAATGCTCCAAATTTAGGGCTCCCCCCTCCTAGGCCCTGCGCCTACATATATATTCTCTGAAGCAGCCTGGAGTTCGATTCCTTCACTCCAGCCCTCCTTGACCCTCCAAACCCCATCTACAGGTTCCTTGCCCCAGGAAGGGAATTTTTACTCGTGTGACCTTACAGAGATTTAATCTGCACAAAACAGGTACAACAGCACGAACCCTTCACCAAACACCTAGGAGGAAGGAACACCCTGAATGCAAACAGAAAACAGGTCTCATGCACGGTAGGTGTTGACAGAAAGACCAGCAAGAAAGGAAGGGGCCAACAGACCAGAGTGTCACTGAAGTAGGCAAACTGGCAGCAGCCTTTCCCTCTTCTCAATCCTATAAACATAGGTTTGGCTGGCATAAAGGACAGCAAGTCACAGCCTAGGTGTGAGGGGCCAGAGCCTACATCACATCTGATTCGACTTGGTGAAGGGTCCAAGAGTGGTACCAGCCATAGGACCTGCAGTCCCTGCTAATCGGGAGGCAGCTGCTCCACACAAAACAGATGAGGCATCTGGGCAAGATAATGGTTCCCCGGCAGAAGCAGGAAGGACCTGCGGCAGTGGCGTGCAAAGCAAGCGACTTGAGTGCTCTCCAGCCCGATGTTCCACCTGTGCTGTGAAGATTTCTAAGAGAATGAATGAATGAAATACGGATGGAAATGGGAGAGAGCACCAAAAGACACAACAGGACAAAAAGGCTGAAAGAATGGCCTGTGCTGGTAATGACAGGCATGCTCCCAGGACAGTGCTCCTAGCAGTAAATTTAAGGAATGTGGTGTTTCCATTAAAAATGGAAGGCTGCACAGTAAGACTTGGCACAGACAACTCGTCAGCTGAAGACCCTCCATCCTCTCACCAAAACGATGGCAACAAGGAATGGCACAGCACATCTATTTCAAACACGTATTTCAATCAAGGGGAAAAAAGAGAGCGGGCAGCAGCCCCCACTCTAAGATTTATGAAGGCTCACGTCAGCCAGATTCTGAGGCAAAGGGCCACCCTGGAACAGCTACAGGATATGAAAGATCTGACCAAAAACTAGTTTATCATCACCAGTGAAGAAGGAATTGAAGAGACATAGTGAGGACTTGACAGCTGGCATTTCATCCTCTGCATCGCAAACAATTGATCCTTGACAGACCATTTAGACACGTTTTGGTGCTCGTGAGTGAATGTGTCATTAAGTAGTATCAGCCTGCTCACAGATTTTGCATGATAAGACTACCTTGCTGTTTTTTACATTACTTTTCCACCAGTGCCAGATGAATCTGGGGACCTGTGAGACTGAGGGGAGGAAATTCACAGACACGGGACAGACTTACTGGCTACCAGGAGCCGGACCCTGTGCTCATGGTCCGTCTTGTTCAGCACTTCTTTGCAAGTGTAGTTGCCTTCGTCCTGCACACGCAGCTCCGTGATGCGCAGAGAGCTGTTGTCAACGAGGGAGAAACGGACGTCCGGGGGGAAGGTGACCCTTGAGGAGAAGAGTGGGGGGAAAGAGTGCGGATCCCCTTGAAACCAGACCACCTCGGTTGCTTCTTTGGAGACATTTCGGCATAAAAGGAGGATGCTTCCTCCAACCTTCCCAAAGACCACTTCCTCTGTTCCTGCAAAACAGAATGGACAGTGTTAGGGATGTAGGGAACCGGCAAAGCCCTCTTCTGTCAGCAAAGACCCGGACATCTGATATATATCAACCCTCTGGGGTGCTTGTTAGCGGGCTACTGTCAAAGGATCTCCGAGACGCATTTGGCAACTAAAAACGTTTGAGTGCAGACACACGATCAGGAAGAGGAACGCAGCTTAAAAGGCTCAAGAAGAAAGCAAGGACAGGCTATTTCTGCCTGAGAGAGGAGGGCAACAAACAAGTGACCTGAAGGAGCCAGAGGAGAGCGGTGTTAGAGGACTAACGACGTGGGGTCACAGCAACGCCCATGCTCAGCCAACGTTTTGCTGGACCACTTGCCCCAGTAGCCCCATCCCCGCACTGCTCAGGAGAGTGCACGGTACCAAAAAAAGAGACAAAAACCGCCTCGGTACTGGCAGCCGTCGAGGAAGATGACACGACTGTCGATATCCCCCTTTTGCCTTTTTCCTACTTTCCCGTTCCTGCCAAAATGGCACCTGGACCCTACAGCCAGCTCGAGGGTCCGCAGGAGTCCCCGCTTCTACCAGCCCCCCTCAGCGTCTGCCCTGCTTGTTTTCAATGGGGAATCGTGTTACTTTGAACACACAAAAAAATTACTTTTTTAAAAAAATAAATTGGCGTTAGGGCCCACTGGGGAGCTCCCCTCAGGAGCACGGCGGACTGAGGTACTGCTCTAACAGTCGCCCACACACGGTGGCCGCTCCCCTCCCCTCCCCTCAGCCCCCGCTACCTGCGGCGTCCCGGCGCTGCACCAGCCTCCAGACGCAGAGGGCGAGGAAGAACCGGGCTGGCGGCGTCCCGCCGGGGAACCGCATCGCCGTGTGCTGCCGCCAGAGCCTCCCGCCTCGGGGAGGCGGCGCTGCCTCGCCTCCGCCCCGGCGAACGGGCAGGGGAGGGCCGGCGGGCCCGTCCTGCCCCGCTGCCCGCTCGCTGGGGCCCGTGAAGGGGGTCGGGTAGCCATCCCCGCCGCCTCACACCCGCCATCTTGAGCACCCGCCATCTTGGGGGCACCCCCCCGCCGCCATCTTGGGCAGCCCCCTCAGAGCGGCCCGAAGCCAGTTTCCCTGCCCGGGCAGGCAGGCACTGACCTGGGGTGCAGTCCAAGGATCGGGAACGTTTAACGCCAGGAGGATGGTGTTTCCAGACGGCAAAACTAAGTGAAGGTAGTAAGCGAACCCCCCGCCGCCCAGAGGATCTTCCATAATTCAACCACTTAGAGACACCTCAAAAGCAGCGGGAGGAACAGTGATAAATGACTATGAACAGTGCCACAAACTGTATGATTCTTGGCTAAGGGCAAAACCAACCAAACAAAAAAACCCCAGGCAGCAGCATAAACCAAAGCTGGAAAGAAGCAGACCACAGACCGAAGAGGGACTGGCAGGAGGAAGCAGGTGGAAAGGGTAAAGGATGAGCTTCTCCACAGCTGGATGGGTCCCAAGGAAACAGGCAACAAAGAGAAAGGCACTAGTGCTTTCAGTTTCTTTAAAGGCATTCCCTTGGATTCCCCTGGGTGAACGTAACAGCCAGTGTGCTGTTCAATTTCTGCAGCAGATGTGTTAGGAGAAATTGTCCCAATGACAGGTTTTTCTTGCTGACTGATGCCAAGTAGACCCAACGGTCCTGCATTGTCCACCATTGCAGACAGCAACTTCCACGCTGGTTTGTTGTATGTAGTAATACACAGATTACTTCTCTGCGTAACCCCGCAAAAAGGGCTGTAAGGCATGCAGGTATCCTCAGGTCCCTCCAGGACACCTTACCGCTTGGGAAAGGCCAGCTCTCCAGCAGCTATCGCACATTGGGCTAAGGCTTGCATGGAGCAGAGCACCGAGATCCACGGGGCTGGCCCCTGGCACGTAAATTATAACCTAATTAACGTCAGGGCCAAGGCCGTTAAGCAGGGGCAGCGCTGCTGCTTTAGGTAATCGCCCTGCTTCTGCTCCCCGTCGGCCGCGGCCCCCCCGCCTGGGGGCGCCCCAACGGCTGGAGTGGGGGAAAGGCTAGCGGCGCGCCGCCGCCAATGAGAGCGAAGCGTGGCCGCGCCTCCGCCAATGGGAGCGGGGGGCGGGGATTGGGCGGTGCGGTCGTAGTGCGCTGAGCGGAGGGGAGCAGCAGCCATGCCGGTGGACCTGGGGCTGTGGAGCGGGCCGCTGAGCCTCACCGAGGTGGAGCAGAAGCCGGCGCACCCGCTGCGTGTCAAGTATGGCTCCGTGGAGATAGACGAGCTGGGCAAGGTGCTCACGCCCACTCAGGTGAGCAGGGCTCGGCCCCGCTTTCCCGGGGAGGGGGGGGGTGTGTGTCGCAGGGGGGCGCGGCAAAATGGCGGGAGGCGGCCGGGCCTCTTGCGCCTTCGCTCCGGCAGATCGGAGCCTCGCCGGGTGCGGGGGGGAGAGAGAGGTGCCCCGCTTTCCTGTCGACTTTTGTACGGGGGCGGCGCGGCCAGGCCTGGCTCCGTGCTGCGGGAGTGGTCCCGGCGGCTCCCGTGGGCTGGGCGTGAGCTGGCGCTGAACGGCCTTGAACTCGCTCGGGTGCTGCTGGCTGCGCTGGTCACGCGTGGCCTCCGTGTGCAGTGCAGCTGGCTGGCGCAGGCTGCGTGGTGCCGGCAGGAGGGCTGGCCGGTTGGGCTAAGGCTGTCATCTCTCCAGGTCCAGCATCGCCCCACCAGCATCGAGTGGGATGGCTGTGATCCGCAGAAGCTTTACACCCTGGTTCTCACAGACCCAGATGCTCCCAGCAGGAAGGACCCAAAGTTCAGGTAATGGGCGCGGGCAGCTCCCTATCTTGCCTGGGGAAAAGGGAGCATCTCTCTTGATCTGAGCAGAGGCTTAGAAGGAGATGAGGAATGTGCTCTGCTTAAGGTGCAGCAGTGAGAAACAGTGCCCTTGCATCTCTCCTTGAGACAGGGACAGCATGGGGAGGAGCAGCTGCTTTTGCCAGGGGTGGTTGAAGGTCTGCTGTTGCTTGGAGAAGCACAGCATTGGCTGCCTGCTCTAATTTGGCACATGTGTGAGTTGGAATTAGGTCTGTCAGTACTAGCAGTGGAGTCTTAAACCTGGGACCAGCTCACCTTTCTCAAATCAGGCTCAGAAGCATGTGGAATACCCACTCTTAGAGGTCAGGCTCTGGGAAACCCAGGCAGGATGACAGAGCTGGTTTTGACAGGCTCTGCTGCCTGAAGGAGGCAGTACCTGCTCTAGGACTGGTGCTCTTTGGGTGGCAGCTGTTAGCTTCAGTTACCCTATACTGACAGCCTGACAGAAAAGCAGCAGCTCGGAGTAATGAAGGATCTTAGCTGAGGCTGTGATGCAGTCTGATTGTTTTTTGCCTTCTTCCAGGGAATGGCATCACTTCTTGGTGACCAACATGAAAGGCAACAATGTGGGGAGTGGGACCGTGCTGTCAGATTACGTCGGCTCCGGACCTCCCAAGGGAACAGGTCGGTACCTGGCTGCAGCAGTTCCCACGCTCTGAGCACAGCCGTGCTGCATGGATCAAATGCGGTGTGCAGGGGAGGGTGGGGAGGCCTGCAGAAAACTGGCTGCCTGCTTGGCGTGTGCTGCATGGCTGGGCAAACGCTGTCCTGCGCTGTGGAAACGGACCATGCGGGACTGCCTGCAGCTGCTTGTAGCCACAGCCAGCATGGACACGGCCCTTTGTTGGATGGCAGGCTTGTGCTGTCCTGCCTGCAGTTGGTAGGCAGTGTTGCTTGGTGAGGGGGAGCACTAGCTCAGGCAGGACATGAGCTATTTAAGCCTATCTCGTACATCTTCTCTAAGCTCCTTTAGCTCCATCATACTTACCCTTCTGATCCTGGGGAATGCAGGTGTCTGTTTCCCTGTGTTCCTGGGGTCACTTCAAAGCAAACCTTAAACCCGGGAACTGCAGGTGACTGGCACTTGTAATGCTGTCTCCTCCCTGCAGGGCTGCATCGCTATGTGTGGCTGGTGTATGAGCAGCCGAAGCAGCTGACCTGCAACGAGCCCATCCTCTCTAATCGCTCTGGTGACAAACGAGGGAAGTTCAAGGTGGCTTCTTTCCGCAGCAAGTACGAGTTGGGGGTGCCGGTGGCTGGCACTTGCTACCAGGCAGAGTGGGATGACTATGTGCCAAAGCTCTACGAGCAGCTGTCAGGGAAGTAGGGCGAGGGGCCCTGAAGAAGCACTGTGCAGCACGCTCTGCGCCCCTGGAGACCAAGCTGGTCAAAGCACATCGCTGTAGTTTTGTTTGATTAGTGAGTTGAACCCAACTGCTCCTGTGCTGACTGCTGGAACTGTAACCCTGTCACTGTCCCTGGCCTGAACCTGCTTCTGCATCAGTGTGGTCCAGACCTGTGCTGGGCTTCAGCCGATTCCTGTAGGTACAGGTAATCGCTAGCTAGATGAGCTTCTGGCAAGGTGTCCCTTTAAGGGCCACCCCCTCCAAGCTGACCTGCTTAAGGGAAACCAAACCCTCTGTGAATTAGTGTCACTCAGTGTTTCTACTGTACTGAAATGGTATTATGTGGCAGCAGTGTGGGTACAGAACCACTTCTGGGTTGGCGCTGGCAGTGTAGCCTCCCCTTTCCAGGAGAGGAAATGGCAGTCTAAGGGAAACTACCGTTCTTTTGGTTTTGTTTTGGGGTTTTTTTGTTTTTGTTATTTTTACCCTCAAGTATTTGGCCAGTGCCTCCACTTCACTGAAGTGAACCACTAAAACAGTGAAGGCATAGCTGGTAGGAGGAGGCAGGGAAGCTGGTTTATAGCACTACCTTCTGTTCTCTGTTGCCCCTCAAAGCTGAGAGACCACTGTCATTTTGTTCAAGTTCTGTTGTGACCTGATGTTAACATGCTGTTTGCTCACAGTGCAATTAAAAACTTACCATGGTAGATGGTGTGGTTGTCTTCTTGGGGGACGAGGGCAGTGCTTACAGGAGCAGGTTGGTGTCAACAGGTTCCTTTCCGCCTCCTGATGTAGAGGCTGGACCCTCTGGCAGGAGCTCCACCCTCCTGGCAGTGCCACCTGAAACAAGTGCTGATGGTGGAGGAATGCAGCTCAAAGCAGTCAATGTCTCTCTGTCCAACAGCCTACCTTGTGCCAACTTAAGTCTACTTGCCTTGAGGTGCAGCTCGCCTTCACAGTAAAGGCTTATGGCAAACAGAGTGCTGGCAGGCTGGCTTTAGAAATTCAGAGAGGACACTTCTTTTTCCAGGGTTTTTCTGAAGCCACCATCTCAGCAGCAGCAGGGCGATTTACCCCCTGAAAACCTCCTGTCCCGTGTTAGAACCTTGACATTCCTTGCAGCTGATGGGGCAGCCTGTGCTCACAGCTCTGTCCTGTGCCTTGGCCAGCTGTGGGGGAGCAGAGCCAGCTGTTAACAAGCCCTTCCACCCTGGAACAAACCTCCTTGTGGCTGAGAGAGCCCAGTGCCTTTAGCCCATGTTTGGTAGCTGGCAGAGGTGCCTGTCCCATGGGATCTCCCATGCCTGGTGCTCCCTGGAGGCCTCCTCCTTTCCACCCAGCAGGTGCTGTGCTGCAGGAGCTCGCACCACCACAGCTGAGCCCTGATTGCAGATTTCAGCTCCTGCGAGAAGCACCACCAGCTTTACTGACCTGAAGCCACTTCCCAGCCAAGCTGCAGGGTCCCAGTTTTTTCCTGATCCTCCAACAGCTTGCAGTGAGGCCTGGTGGTGTCTCCTAAGCACTTAAAGCAGAAAATGAACTTTTGGTCCGGTCTGACATCTTTAAAAAGTTAAAAAAGAGGAAGCCAATGTAATTCTACTTCATGGAACTAGAAGCCTTCCCCCTTTTTTAAACTGCTGCTTTTCTCAAAGATCTGCACCCAAGTGATCAGAGAAACGGGTATCAAAAACCTCAACATGCTGCGTCAGGGCCCTGTAAAAATCAGCATGACGCTCTAATGACCAAGACCCACAAGATGAAATGCATCAGGTGGGTGGAGACATGCTTGAGAACAGCCATACTTCACCAGGCTCAGCAAGGGCTGATCCACCTTGGGCTGGAAGCGGGACATAAAGAATAAGCCACAATCCATTAGCCTAAAAACCTCCACTGTCAAGAAAACCAGGTTTAGAACAAAGCCCCAGAGGTTCCTCCAGCCCTGTCAGGGCTGGAGGGACATCTCGCCCCTTGCGCGTCCACAAGAGGTGCGCTGGTGGGAGTGCAGTGGGTCACCTCCCCTGTTCCCACCTTCAGACTGTGCCGGGGACAGGCCACGAGCCGCTCTTGCCACAATGAGACAGCGAGGCATTGTGATGAACACTTTTATTTACAAATATAATTAAAAGCTCTGACAGTTATTCATGCTCTTCCTTGGAACCTGAAAAATGTTTTTGTTGTTTTGTTGGTTTTTTGTTGTTTTTTTGGTTTTTTTGTTTTTTTTAAAGTGCATGCAAAAGAAGTAAAGCCTTTTTTTTTTATCTTTTTATTGTAAGAAAATACACAGTTTGAAAGTGTGAATAATGCAATATTTATGACCAAGATCATGGGGTTGGGGGTGGACTTGGGGGAGGAACAACAAAAAAAAAAAAAAGAAAGAAAAAAAAGGGCTGGGGATGATCTAACAGACAGTGTTGAACTCCAAGTACTGAACTGGAGAGTGGGCGGGGTGGCTGGGAGCAGGAGGAAAGGGGGGAAAGAAGTAAAAAAATTTTTGATCAGAGAAACAGTTAAAATACAATATGAAAATAAGTAAAAGCTCTCCTTAAATTCCTTCTATACACAAAATACACGATTTGACAAAGCCCAATTTGTGCTACTGGGATCCTGTGGGCTCATTTAAGTGTATTCACATTCTCTGCGACAGCAGAAAATGATTATGATACAATCAAGAATATGCCGAGGACTGAGGTCTCATCCCCGCCTCGCCTGGCATGGTTCTTCTAAAAATCACCAGATCTTCGCCCCGCCCCTCCCCACCCCCAAAAAAGTAATAATATGTCACCACTGATATGTACATCACGATTAAGTTTTTTTTCTGTAAAATGTATCAAATTTCTCAATCTTTAATAAAATTTTTTATTATTTAATTATTCCTGATGAATAAATACCAAAAAAATAAAAATAAAATAAAATTATGCAGCAGCTAGTTAAGGTAAGGCTGCGGATTTAGTCTCTCTCCCCCTGGGTTTGTATATATCTTTTGATTATTATTATTTTTTTTGCTTGTACTTTCATTGATTGGTGGTAAAATGAGTGATTGCTCAAAAGCAACATACATCCACTTTTTTTTTTTCCATTAAAATTGTCTCCAAAGTTTTCACTGAAACATTTTTAATCATTGCACAGAGACATCAATACTGTGACATACTATGGAAAAGACCGCCAGGAGCTGTCCTGCACCGGGACTTGACACAGGGGGAAAGGGGGCCCCTGATGGAGTAAGAATATACAGGCACTAGTCCGACACGATGTCAGTAAGAGAGACAGAAAGAGAGAGAGCACGCCCGTTAACATGGGGAATGTTGGTTTTGCAAGTTTTATCATTGTTTTGTTTGCTTTTTGTCTTTTTTTGTTTTTAAATGGCAAAGAAATTTAATCTCATCTATAGTCCTCCTTGGGATATTCTAATGTGACCAAATTCCCAAAGCCCATTCGCAAGCTCTCCATGTCAAACGTTTCAATCTCTCGCTCCTGCCTTTCCAACAGAAACTTTATCCTCTCGCTGCGTTCCTTCTGGAGGGCGGCTAGCTCCTCTTCAATCTGAAAGAAGCACAGTCAGCAGCCCCTTAGCAGAGCATGACCGCCCCGGGTATGGCAGCTCCCGACGCATGGTGCCAGCCCCGTGTCCGAGGCGAGATCGACACATCTAACCGGCAGCCCACCCAAAACGTACCTTTTGTTCAAGATGTGCCCTGCGCAGCGACACCCGTTGCTCCAGCTTCTGGAGTTCTCTTTCATGCTGTGCTTCTGTCTGCATCTTAATTTTGCTCTGGTATGCGTTGAGCAGCTCCATCTCCTGCTGGAGTTGCAGTCTCAGGGCTTGGCATTCTGCTTCTTGGGCCTCATCCAGCCGTAGCTGTAAGATCAGTGGGAAAACAACATTCAAGCCTCCACTAGTAACTTCTCTGCTCCGACGCTAGCGACACACCGCTCTTCCTTCTCAAAGCCGGGGAGCCTCTGGTGTTGGTGGCAGAATGAGAAAGCAGGAAGGGCTTCATAAACAGCTGCTTCCCCACTGACACAGAGGCAGAAGCCTCAGAGAAGATCCAATTCTAAACCCCAGCATGCGAGGGGCAGCGGGGAAAGGATGCGTGTTCTGCGGGATGCTTATTACAAGAGGGAAAGTACCACATGACGTGTTATTTAAAACAGTTAAAAACACAGCCGCATCGCTCACCATCCAGCAGCTAGGACGGGAAGAACACGATATGCTGCAAGGACTGATGGCCCAACTGTACCCCAACTCCACGCACCTTGGTCAGAGACCCCCTGCCCAGGGACAGGAGGTGCCGGATGCTGCACCTACCGCTTGTGAGGCCATCATCTCGTTGATGCTCTGCTCATACTGCTCTGCCAGGATGGCGAGCTTCCTTGTCTGCTCATCCTTCAGACTCTTCAAAATTGTCTTGTGCTCACTCTTTGGAGTTACTTCCAGCTGGTGATTCTTCAGTGCTTTGTACTGCTTAGTTTGCACTTTGCATGTGTCCTGGAACTGCTTTTTGATCTGCATTTCCATAGCCTGCCAAGGAAGGAACAATGTGAGGAGCATGAAGAGCTTTGGGAATGGAAAGGTTGTAGTACATCCAAATGGGCAGGTTGGTGAGAGACAGCCACAGTTCTCCTGTGCTCTGCGCTGTCTCCTGCCCCTGCACGCGGGTTGAGCGGGGTGTACTCCACACACACAGCAACCTAACCAGCGGCATCAGCTCAGGCTCTCCTTCAGCGCTGACCACAGGCCTGGGCTGGGAACAGGATCCACTAAGCCCTCCTCAGCCCAGAACATCTCATCTCCTACCCCTGCTTCCTGCAGGTCACCCAGCCCCTCACCCTGCCCCCTGCCTCCCAAAAAGCATTTGCTTTTTCAAGGCCTCCCATTTTGCTACCTCACCAAGGCCTCCACAAACTGCCTCCCCCATCTCAACCATGCACTACATGGAGACCACAGATCCAAGAACTGGCAAGGGTGTGACAAAGCGAATAAAAGCAACGTGTCTTTTTGGACGTTCAGAGGAGGAACAGAAATCTCCCATAGCAAGCAGGTCAGAGGTTTCTAATCAACCTGCAGCCAAACTGGGACAGAGCACAGCACTCAGCACTCCCATGTGCTCTCTCTCCGTTGACTTTGAAAGCGAGGAAGCATCACCCAACCCCTTTCCATATCAAGGTTTATAGGCTGACACCAGCAAGGGCCTAAAGAAGTACAGCTCATCAGAAGCAAATTCTGTAATACTTTGCTAAGGACTAGCCTATTTTTACCCAGCAGCCTCAATTAGCATGGCACTTAAAAATTCCTCAGTGAGCTCTTTGCTATAATAGCCCACAACTTTCTTATACCAGAGCAGCCCTGCGCAAAGGAAAGGGAGGCAAGGGAGAGCACACAGTGCTGGTGGAGAACAGCGGTTCTGCAGCATGGATGCTGCACAGAGGAGGCAGCGAGCGCACAGCCCAGCCTGCCTGGCAGGACAGAGTTTGGAAGAGGAGGAAGGAAAGCTTCCAGCACCTTCAGGTTCTTTGGTTGCTGCCGGAGCTCCATGAAATGCTTCCTGTGCAGCTCCCGCTCTCGCCGCTTGTTGTATTCCAGCTGGTTCTCAAGCTCAGTCTGGTGCTGCAGCCGGATCAGGTCCATTCGCAGCTTCTGCAGCGTGTGCAGCTGCCTGTACTCCAGCTCACGCGTCGACTCGTCGTGCCGGATCAGCATGGCATGCTCCATTTCCTTCTGGGTCCGCTTCTTGTTTAACTCCTGCACAAGAGGACAGCAGAGCACAAGACAAAAGCTGAGGAGTGATTCTCTCTGCCCTAAGACGCAGTAGTTGAGTTTGTGAGGCTGGGTGTTTTGGTCACTTGTCTAGGTAACATCAAGGACTTCTACGTACCGCAGGGAAACACAAACCCAGCAGCACGATGGGAACGCTAATAAAGCAGCCACCTAGCATCCATCCATCCTCCTGCAACCTGCTCCTCTGGCAGCTCCTGGATCACCCAGGGAGTCTCCAGCAGGTGGCACTGGGTCCACATGCAAGCCTTCTGTGACTGCTGAGA